AAAATTGAAATTTCTTTAGATACCTTTTTTCTTGCAAATTCTAACTCTATGACGTTCCTCTCGGTCATATGATTCCAACGCAACCTCCCTTCCACTCATTGGCCACCGGTGCAATGAGATATTTCACTTTAAATCGAACTGTTCGTGACCCACAAGGCTATTTGATGAAAAATGAAATTTCTTTTAAGAGCTTTTTTCTTGCAAATTCCAACTCTATGACGTTCCTCTCGGTCATATGATTCCAACGCAACCTCCCTTCCACTCATTGGCCACCGATGCAATGAGATATTTCACTTTAAACCGAACTGTTCGTGACCCACAAGGCTATTTGATGAAAAAATGAAATTTCTTTTAAGAGCTTTTTTCTTGCAAATTCAAACTCTATGGCGTTCCTCTCGGTCACACGATTCCAACGCAACCTCCCTTCCCCTCATTGGCCATCGGTGCAATGAAAAATTTCCTTTTAAATCGAACTTTTCGTGAGCCCACAAGCTTATTTGATGGAAAAAAAATGAAATTTCTTTAGAGACCTTTTTTCTTGCAAATTACAACACTATGGCGTTCCTCTCCGTCACACGATTCCAACGCAACCTCCCTTCGAGTCATTGAACACCGGTACAATGAGATATTTCACTTTAAACCGAACTTTTTCGTGAGCCCACAAGCCTATTTGGTGAAAAAAATAAAATTTCTTTAGAGACCTTTTTTCATGCAAATTCCAACTCTATGGCGTTCCTCCCGGTCATATGATTCCAACGCAACCTCCCTTCCACTCATTGACCATCGGTACAATAAGATATTTCACTTTAAACCGAACTTTTCGTGAGCCCACGAGCCTATTTGGTGAAAAAATGAATTTTTTTTTTTTTTGTAGAAAGATTGACGCTAGTGCGTCTAATTCATTATTGTAATAAAACGGTCCTGGGAAATCCCCATTACATCATGAAAGAGCCAGTGTCTAAGACCGACTTCGTACACATCGAATGAATGTGTACCAAAAGAATAACAGTGACAAAAAATGCTTGTTAGTCATTAAGCGATCGTGCATCACCTGCCACAAAAAATGCTTAACTATGTTTGGTCCCTTCCATTTCCATAGTTTAGTCCAGCTTTGATCATCATCAGCCTCATCCAACCCTGCAGCAAGTGCATAGGCCGATTTGAGTCTAAACCTCCCATCACGTTCCATTGCCCATATGGTTTTGTCCTCGCCAAGATGTGCATTCGGAACTTCTATGCCTGCAATCAGATTAAGAATGTCATCAAGGAGGAGTGGTTTGAGTCGGTTCCAGTCCCACTCACCTTCTTCAGTAGCCCATGCTGCCACTGGTGAGTTCCTTTCAGTGGGTGTCAGGTCGCCAAGGAGGAAATCTTCAAGTTTGAGATCACAGTCAATCCATGGATGAGACCAAAAACTTGTAGACTCCCCATTCCTGATGCTCCAGCAACAGCCGCTTTTCATCAGAGGCATTGCTTTGACAATCGCCTTCCACAAGTTTGAATGATTACTCTTCTTCATAGAGGTAATGGCACCATCTTTATGCTTAAAATACTTCCCTTGTAGGACCTGCACCCAAAGCTCAGAATCGTTGTTAAGTATCTGCCAAGCCAACTTGATCATGTATGCCATGTTCAAGTTTCTGGCAGATCTGAGGCCCAGACCACCTTGGCTCTTAGGCTTACAAATAGTGTTCCAAGAGACCAGGTGGGTCTTTCTTTTACCCTCCTGCCCTCCCCAAACAAACCTCCTAATCTTTTTGTCAATTTTATCACAGACAGAGAGAGGAAGGGGGGAAGTTTGCATAGCAAAGTTAGGAATGGCATTCAGGACAGCCAAGGCTAGTGTAACTCTACCAGCAAGTGATAGCGTTTTGGCTTTCGATGCTGTAAGTTTGCCATCCAACTTTTCTAAAACAAACCTGTAAGTATTCCTGGTCATTCTGCCATGGATCACTGGCATCCCCAGGTATCTCCCAAGGTCATAGGTTTCCTGAATACCAAGTCTAGAGCACACCTCAATCCTAGTAGCTTTGGTAGTGTTCTTAGAGAAGAACAAGGTTCTACTAAACGGCTCCACTGGAATCATTCTCCATTGCCTCATTCATTTATTCTATTTCATCCATAGCCACTCAAATTAGTTCAGCAGTTCAAGTTTGGTCACTCTCTGTTAGTCTCCGTTAACTTTAGCTGACGTGGCAGTCAACTCTAAGAGTTAACCGTTAAATAAGTGACGTGGAAATTAAAAATAAAAAAATAATCTTTTAAACATTCCACCTCATTAACACGATAAATTAAAAAATAATAATAATTGCAATAAAAATTGGAAAATTGGAAAATCAATCCCAAACTTGTCCTTCCGTTTCAGTTTAGGAAAACGATGGTCGACGGCAACGGAGATGGTTCTACGGGTGAGCTGCCGGAGACGGCGGAGCAGCTGTGAGGGTTGGGGTTTTTGGCTCTGCACAATGAAATTTGAGACCGGATGATGGGAGGGAAAGTTGTGGGTTTCTGAAAGGGAGACCAAATTGCAGTGGAAAGAAATTGGGATGCGGGTTGAAGAAGAGAGGGAGATTTGAATGAGGTCGGACAGGACATCGTCACCTGAGACAGCCTGAGCACTACGGCGGAGATGTGAAGTTGTGTGTGTAGGAAGGTCCGAAAAGGTTTGTCGGCACATGGAGGATAATTAGGATGTGCGTGCCACGAGCCCACCCACATCCATAGCTTCCACAATTTAAAGCACCCTCGTTAAATAGGATGTGAGAATGAATTATTTTTTTCCAATTTTTCATTTTTTGTTATTGCAATTATTATTATTATTTATTATTTTTCAATTTATTGTGATAATCATATAATTATGTGGAATTTTTAAAAGATTAAATTTTATTATTTTTTAATTATCACGTCACGTATTTAATGATCAACTCTCAGAGTTGACTGCCACGTAAGCTCAAAGTTAACAGAGACTAACGAAGAGTGACCAAACTTGAACTGTTGTACTAATTTGAATGACTACGGATGGAATAAATTAATTTCAGTGCCAAAGGTGTACATTTTCCAAATTTAGAACGAAATTTTTAAATTCATAGGACGTCAAATATCAACTACCAATTCAACGGAAAAAAAAAATCAACTCCCGAGTTCAACTCCCAACAAGATTGATGTGTTGTAATTAACCTTTCATTTTGAATGATAATTATACCAAACGTGTTACTTCCAAAATAGGCAAGGACAAAGACGATGATGCCAACTAGTATAGAGATGAATGGTGACTGGGGTCGGTTAGCATGCTAACCCCCTTAGGGGTTGGAAAAATGACACCCTCCTAGTATATTAAATACAACTATAATTAATACACAATAATTAATACACACATTAAATACACATTAGGAATTAAATGTACCATATTAATTAGGAATTCTCTCACTATTAAATACACATTAGGAATTAAATACACACATTAAATACACATTAGGAATTCTCTCACTATATTTGATTTTTCCTTTTTCAGCAGTCTTCGACTACCAGACTTCCTTCGACCGCCACACTTCTCCGGTGAAAATCCCATCGGCAGACTCCCTCCGACCACCTCCAAAAAATATACCACTGCACTGATACGATGTACCACTGTACTAGTAGATATACCACTGCACTGATACGTTGTACCACTGTACTGGTAGATATACCAATGCACTGATACGTTGTACCACTGTACTGGTAGATGTACCACTGCACTAGTAGCGATATCAGTGCACTGGTAGCAATGTCATATATGAGTATCAGTGCAGTGGTACAAATACCAGTAAAGTGGTAATTAATGTGGTGTATTTAATGCTTACTTTGTATTTAATAACATAACATTTATTATATTTACTTTCATTAATACTTGTCAATAATTAATGAAAAATTGACCAATTAAAAGGGGAGTGTCAAAAAACCAACCCCTTAAGGGGTTAGCATGCTAGCCCGTCCCATGGTGACTGGCAAATGATATGCCTAATACTATAAGTTTAAATGATCAAGTTATAGTAGCCAAATAAAATCAAAAACAGATTGCATTACGCTGTTAGTGTAACACTCGATACAAACAGAAGTATCCCAGCTGACCATGTATGTTTCCGTGACCTTTACAAAACTGTCAACCAAGGGAGGGGCACAAAGAAGAAACTGCATAGTTTATCTAATGAGCCTTCATTGTTAGTCAAGTTTTGGACCAGTTACTTTGTGGATGATTTGAGATTTCAATTTATATCCGTAAGAGAGAGCATCCGACACCAAACCATCAAGCGCTTCTTCGTTCCATTCGTACAAGTAGAACCCTAAAAAAGTTGTGGGAACTCCTGCAGTTATGATAATCACGTGACATGGCGATTAGCAACTTAATTAATTACTGATCAGAAGGCCAAGTATAAGATTTGGTAAAAAAAAAAAGAGAGAGTACCCATTACAAACAATGAGTGAAGGGAAATGGTCCCTATGAAGCCAATGATCAACAGCGACAAGACAACCTGTTCCAACGTAAGAGCATTTTACACAAGCTAGTTAAAACAAAGTGTTCACTCGTTTGAATAACTTAAACAACCACTAGTAAAGACTCTTATTCGTACTATACCACTTTATGTACATCACTTACTAAACATTTTACACAGAATGTAAACATCTCGTAAACATTTAAGTACCTTGGGAAAACCAACCAGTCCTTCCCTTTGCAAAGAGATTCTAGAATGTTGATCCCGACATTCCAGAACGAAGCTAATACATGAGCAACTTGGTAAGACTTCTTCTCAGTCCAGTAAAAATCAGACGGATGGATCTTTTCGATTTTATACCCAAATCTGAGCATATGAATCAAATGTGTCACTAGCACACTATAATAGTCCAGTTCTCTTAATTAAACAACACTGAAAGCTTCTATGATGGTTCTCACATCCAATAGTTATACTTCTGAGCACCTTAAGGCTCTTACTGACAAAACATACAGATCCAAAAGCTCATACATTATTCAATGTGGCTTTATATTAGTTAGCGCTGCATTTAATCTAGATGAAGAATAGTCTACCTTCCAAATTTACACCAAGAGATTGGAGTATAATACAAACACAAATCATACTTTTCTGTTGGTCAAACTCAAAGCTGCTTGTTCTAGACTTTAAGGCAGTAAGAAGCAAATGGGTTGTGCATCCAGCGATACCCATCCAAAGACATCAAATCAATGGCAACTGCACACTTATAGTCGCACGAAAATCAACATAGGACTGAACTGAAAGGAAGAGATAAGGGACATACATTTTCTCAGGTAATCTGCCGTGGACGAATAGAAAAATTGCTGCCATCAAGAGAAGCTTTGAAGTCGCAGTAATAATGGTAGAATTAGACGAAATGAAACTGTAGTAAATCCCCATTAGAACTAGCAACACGATGAGTGTCTTCTTGGTATCCTTCCAAAGTAGTGTGTCAGCAACTGCAAATGATAATTGCAATGACAGGTATTAGGGATTGAGAAGAGAAATTAGCAATTGAGGCAGAATTGATAAGGGAATTTGGGGGAAGAAGCGGAAGGAAGAGAAGAGAAGGAGAGTTGAGAAATTACATATTCAATATTGTTCTTTCATCATCTAAAATAACAATGTCTTAATCCTTAAATAGTTGTTCTGAAAAATAACTCAACAAAATAATAATAGTAAAAAAAACAAAAGGGCTCCGGCACCACTAGTCGGGTTTCCATCACATTTGTAACTGCGGTTGAAGTACAAGCTAAGTATATTACATCAGGTGGTAAAAGAGATCTAGATATGAATTCAATAATTAGGAAGGTCCAATTAGCTCTGAATTTCATGACCCAGTCTGCACATTTGTTTCTCCCTCTTGGCACAACGTGAAAGACACACTCTAACAATTATAGCAAATAATTTAACAATCATACCTCTTCCATTTCTAAGATATAATGAAGCCTTAGATGGCCCATCTCTTTTAGGTTGATTCTCAGCATTAAGATGTGAAAATGACTCAATAGTCCTTTTCAAACCATCCTGCAATCGAAAAAGATAAACTCAACTGCACAGGTACTGCTGTATAAGTTGTTTCTTATTTATGTGCCTCCACTTGTAGCTGTTAATATATATTATTAGCTGGCACAGCAAATAAACAGGGTAATTATAAGCTCGGAGACCAGTTATACAAAGACATTAAAGCACAATTAGTCTGACCCAAGAGAGGAAATGTGAAAAACAGACTTATTATTTCACCATGCGGATTAAATGAGACCAAGCTCCGTATACCAAGACTGGGTTTGCATGGAAAAACAGTTTGACGGACACTTATTTACGTTGAAGAGATATTTAACAATTTCACAGTAATAAGTTAGGACATCTGGAGGTGATTGAACTTCGTAATTTTATACTATCCAACTTTTGTGGAAGTTGTACAAGGATAATTTCCTTTATTCACAAAACAATGCATAACATCACTGAATAGAGAATTCTTTTTATAAGGATGATATATGTTAGTTTTTTTAATTAGGTGCTACTGAAGGGACTCGAACATGAGACCTCCAGGTTCAAGACCAATGACAATAACACTGGACCAAGCCCTTGTTTGCACTAAATAAAGAAATTGAATCACAGCAGAATGTTGCCAAACCTCGAGTGATACAATTGGTGTATAGCCAAGACGTTCATGAGCCTTTGCACAACTAAATGATCGGTTGCCAGAAAGAAGCCTAATTCTTGAAGGAATCAGCACTGGGAGCTTCATCCCATATGTGCCGAGTAGATTATATGCCCACTGAATTGCATGAGCAACTGGCAATACAGCAACAGCAGGAACCTTGATCCTTGGCCTGCAAAGTACATCAAATCAAGTTAAAAAGAAATAGAATAGAGCAGATATTCAGAGCTAGTTCACTGCATAGTGAGCAGAATACTTATTTATAGATACTGAATGCCAGTGTTTGCAAACCATTGTGGAACAAAAGAGCGCTTTAACTGACAATGGACCAAGAGAGGTCACGCAAATCACTTTTCTAAGTCAGAGGTTGCAAACGTGTAACAAGCTATCAATGAGAAGTATTTCGATCAATTCTAACACAAAGTAGTAGTTAAAAATTTAATGTTCAAATATAAGTACCTCTCATAATCAAGACCTGCACAAACATTTCCAGTGAACTCCCAAAACTTGATAGGCTCCATGTTGGTTATAAAATATGCCTATAAATATCAACCAACATTTGAGAAATGATCCACGAACCACGTCCCAATCATGACTTGGAAGCAAACACCAACATTACATGGGTGAAATAGGGTTATCATCTTCAGAGTTTTTCAAGAATGGGATAATCATGTATCCACCACGAGAGAAAGAAACTAATCCATAATGCACATACTGCAATAACGTATCAATGCTGCCAATGAAGAACCCCTCAAACGAAGAAAACAGAACTTATTGCATATTTAGCATCTTCAAAGCAATTAACGAACATAAAACGGTATGAATGACTCAACTTTCAGTATGAAAGGTACCTAAGGTATAAGACTTGAAAGGCTACCAAGTTCCTAACAATAACTGCTCGTTCATAATACTAATGGAGTCTGGAAATTTTCAATACGATTGGCTGGCTTAGGTTTTTACCTTAAAGAAAACCACAACATAATACCACCAGCAGATGTTATGATTGATTATCATCATTCACACAGCAAATGGACAGGGTAATGCAACTTTATTTTATCCTTAACCATCTACAGCCCAACATGCTTAAGCATTGGATTTCAGCAACAGATGAAACATTAATTCAGGAAAAACTGAAAAAGAACCTTCATTAATTTTACTCTGTAATTTTGTAATGAGTGGAGCAATGTCACAGGAAAACATTACAGCTACACCTGCCCTTTCTACAAAAACAAGCCGAAAAATACAACTGTATAGAACGAGTTCGCATAAGACAAACCTACTCCTCATTAGACTTAAAAATACTGCTAGTTTCAGATTCTTTTGCATTCAATGTCCAATCAAACATAACCTTTGTGAGTGTAACAAAATCTTAATCGTACCTGCCCTGCAGCTTTCTCTGCAGCCTCCCCTGATGATGACAAAGTTTGTTCAGCACATATGTGAGCATGTGCCACATTCTCAACATACGTGAAGTCGTAGACGTTGTTACCATCACCAATTAAGAACTGCTCATAGATATTACCAAAGAAAAATTAATAGCTAAACAGCCTCATTATAATGCTGGAAGTAACAGACATACATGTGTCGTCAAGTATGACAGAAATAGCAAGAGAAGGATTGTCAATGTGTGATGCTCTATCTAATAACAAGCATTACCTTGGATTTGCCAGCCCTCGCCGACTCAGCAAGAGAAGGAATAAACAATTTATCTCCAGGACCAAATATGCTACTAGGACGTAAGGAGCAAGTAAGAAGCCCATTAGTACCATTTGCCTTAAGAACAGCAGCCTCCGCTTCTGCTTTAGTCGCGGAGTAGGAATCAAGAGGCTGAAACAATTACAACCACCATAAGCCATCTCCATCTAGCAGGCTTAGTTCTAAGATCAACATCCTGAAGAAGAAGTATGCAATGAAATACTACCTTGGGTGGATACGGCAATGCTTCATCTCCATTGAAGATTGGATGAATCCCATCAAAAACCACACTAGCAGAGCTAGTGAAGATTAGGATCTTCACTTTAAGCTCGACGCAAGCATCAATCACGTTCTTGGTCCCTTCCACGTTGACTGAATAGTGGAGCTGATAGTTGTTGATACCTGAATGCGGGGCCGCCATGTGGAAAACAACCTCGGCTCCTTTAAGAGCTGCAGCAAAAAGAAAACAAACAAAAAGCAGGAGTGAGGTCTCCATTCTCCTTTAAGAGCTGCAGCAATAAGAACCCCAAACCGAATCGAAAGCAATAAAAGAAGATTGTAAAAACCTTGGAGGACTTGGGGCTTGTTGCGGAGATCCATAGAGACGTAGGAAGCGCGGCCGGATTCCAATGCACGACCGAGGTCTCCATTCTCCTCCTCCGGGGAGAGGTCGATGGCGGGAGGTAGATCAGCTATCCGAACGAGGAACTTGTCTGATCTGATGAGCATATCCACCAAATGCCTGGCGGCAAAGCCCCTGCCTCCGGTCACCACGCAACATTTACCAGACATTCTTTCTCCCTGGATTTCAGATTTTTTAATGGTAAACAAGTCGAACAAGAATATCCTCCTTATATCAAAGGTGAGCATGTACAAACCCATATCCGGACCAAAACATAGGAACAACGACCAGAACCCGAAACCCAAAATCCACAACCCAGCAATCTGAATCTTGGATAAAATTAAAGCCATCAGAAATATAGAATCATTCAAACTCATGTAACATGAATCGAAAACCATTCAGTTGGGTAAACTTATTTTAGGGGTCGTTTGCTTCATGGATTTATAAACGAGGGTTTTGTAATTTAAAAACCCAAGGATTTATCAAGGATTTGAGGCATCATGGATTTGTAACAATCCTTTGTTTGTTGGGATGTTTTTATCATGGATTTAAAGGTGTGGGATTTATTACTTGAAGTCAAAAATTACATTATTGCCCTTTTCTATATGTTTGACATGTTTATGATATGTACACAAAACAAGGACAAAACTTCAAAATTACCTTACTATCATTTTCTATATGTTTGACATGTTTATGATATGTACACAAAACAAGGACAATACATATTAATAAGCATAATGTTGCCACATGGACAATAATAATAAACGAGAAAATTCCGTTTTAACTTTTAACGTAATGTTGCCACATGGACAATAATAATGTTGCCACATGGACAATAATAATAAACGAGAAAATTCCGTTTTAACTTCTAACTCATGTTTGCACATTAATTGAACGTTTATATTATTCATTTATTGTTAATTATAATGTATAATAGTTAAATTTGAGGGCAACCTTGGAATATTAAAAGTGCATGAGGGTATATGGGTAAAATGTCATCAAGAATTTATGCCATATTCCAAATCCCACATCAACATGTGGGATTTATAAGTCCGTGGGGTCCACGGATTTGGACCCTTAAAATTCGTGGGCCCCACGGATTTGGTCTCTAAAAAAGGTGCAAGCAAACAACGGATTGTACCTAAATCCTTGATAATTGATTTTTTGGTACCAAATCCATGTACCAAATCCTTGAAGCAAACGACCCCTTAATTGGTATGATAGGACAGATCTAGCGATTCTACTAAATCTAAACCATCCATAACTCAACCAAATTTGAGATTCCTAACCAAGTCATATCGAAGGAAGGTTAAATCAAAGAAAAACTCAGATCTAACTTCCCAAAAACAGAATCAAATGAAAACCACAGAGAAATCGATATGTAACATAAACAAATCGCCATTCACCTTCGTCGCCGTGGTGAAACGGCGTCACCCCTCCTCGTCGTCGGCCTTCTCTTCCTCCTTCGTCTGCCATTAAAACCAGAAATGAAAGAAAACCTCAGGTATAACTTCCCAAAACCAGAATCAAACGAAACCCTCAGAGAGATCGCCATGTAAGATAAAAAAAAAATCACCACTCAGCTTCGTCGCCGTTGTGAAACGGCGTCTCCCGTCGTCGTCATTGTCAACGTCGGCGGTGTTCGACTCCAGTCGCCGCCGGCAAAAGTATTGTCTTCGCTTCGCTCGTTTGTTTCCAGAAGTAAAGAGAGGGAGAGGGGTAAATCGAACAGAAGAAGAAGAAGAAGAAGAAGGTGAAGCCCTTTTTGGTTCGGTTTGGGGGATTCGTGGGTTTGGAGGAGAAAGGAAAGAAAAGGAGATGAGAGTTGTCGTCGTTTTTCTAGCGAAGGGAACGAGATAGATGCAAGAGGGGAAAAAAAGGCTCAAGATAGCGTGCATAACCATGAGTTATGCATCCATCAATAACCAAATCTGGACTCTTCATTTAGAAAATCCAGATCTAAGGATGGAAAATTAAGGACTATTTTTATGTTTCCTAACTTTCTTAATCGGCTCATATCTTTTTCGTTTTAACTCGGTTTTTAATTTTTTTTGCACAGATAGAACGAGTTCATTGTGCTCTACCAAATGAGAATAATTTTCAATATTTTTTTAGAAAAAAAATTTTGGCCTCTCGGTACCAACTGCATACCATATGGTATCTTCTTCGTTTTTGAAAAAGTTTGCACAGAAGGGACGAGTTCATCATGATCTATTGGATCTACAAATTTCTAGGTGAACAAATTACAGGACCAAAAAATACCACACAATACCATACAATCATGGATTACGAAACCGTACCGGCCATCAAACCGGAATCGTTTTTGGCATGGTAAATCGTGGTACAACCATGGTTCAACCGTTTCCTACCGGCAAATACCGTTTTTGGAATAAAAAAATTATTTTTTTGTTAAAAAACCGTACCGACAAAATTAGGGTACCATACCGGGAAAATACCGCAATAAAACCGGATTATACCGCCTGAGAAACTGTAAAAGAGTAAATAAGCTTAGGTAACATTCAACAAAGTGCGAGATTTCAATACCTAATAAACCTCATAATCATCCAAATACATTTTTAGAAACTAGTACAAAAGCCACAAGCTTAATGTTCACAAACCACAAGCTTAATGTTCCACAAACCACAAGTTTAAACTTTAATGTTCACAAACCACAAATTCAATGTCTCAAACTAGAAAGTAGAAACTACTAATTGGATCTTTTGTTTGAAATCAAATCCATATCTTCAAGCAACTCCAAATGTAGAAAAATCAACATTCGGGAACTCGTCTCCTTCATCTTCTTCATCACTAACTACAATACAAAAAAAAAACAAGTAAGAAACATTATAAATTATGACGTATTAGAATTCACATCATAATAACTAATTCACACACCTTCCTCTGCAAGTGCTCGATCGAGCTCATCAATATCCAATTCCTTGTCTTTAGAAGATGCCCCTTCATTCTCTTCTATCAACCACTCAGTAGTAATATCAGAATGAATGCTTTCAAGAGAAATGGGATCATATGATTCTTTGTTCTTCATGGCATAATACTCTCTGGTCAAAGTGGAATGCATATATTGATTCAGTTCAATAGTAAATATAAAAACTAGAACAAGTAATAATTCACAAGTTTATTCATACCTATTCTGCAGTCGCAAGTTGTAATTCACAAACACCAAATCACTAAGCATTTTGTGCTGCAATTTGTTTCTTCTTTTGGTGTGCACACGTTCAAATACACTCCAATTACGTTCACAGCCAGAAGAAGAAGCAGTTTGGCTAAGAATGCGAATAGCCAACTTTTGCAGATGCGGAGCATCAATACCAAACCATTTCCACCACTTATCTGCATATTAAGCATACATGTTAGTATCTTAATTCTTAATAAACAGAACTAGTATTAATGTACATAAATTCAATTACCTGGTTGTAGCTTTTGCGCAGAATCAATTGCTTGCTTCCTCCCAAAATTACCTTTTCTTTCAGAATACAAATTCAGCTCCTCAAGCACCACATTTGTATCAGGACATAAGGATTGGTTCTCAAGAAGATCAAGAATGCCATTTTTAATAGGCCTTGTATCTTCAAAATCGTTGGCATACTTGAAAGCCGGATTAAGGAAGTATGATGCCACAAACAAATCACGGCTCAAATGTTTATCCCACCTCTTATTAATGAGGTCTATGTAAGGCTTGTACTGCTCCACCTTATCTCCACAAACAGCCTTCACAGCTTTTGACACTCTAATCATCCCATCATGTACATACCCCATAGCTGGTTTACTATCTGAATCCACAATGCGAAGTAACTTCACTATTGGCATTGTCAACTTAACTATGAAGTCACAATCCACCCAAAACTGTTGATCCAGTACAATTGACTTCACATCCTTTCCAACCTGCATTTTCGAGAACTCACTATCTCGAAAGAATTCACTGATCACTAGAGCCTCCAAGTCATTCATATGCTCAAAAATACTTTGCAAACTCAGAAATGTAGTTGCAAATCTTGTAGCTCCAGGCCTCACTATTTCTTTCCAATTATCTCTTGTCTTCAACCAGTAATAAAGTGGGCCATGATTATAAACAAATTTAGAGATTTTGGTTGCTCTATATGCAAGGGTCCTAACATGAGGCAGCCCTCCAATGTCTCGCAGAAGTAAATTCAGGGTATGAGCAACACAAGGAGTCCAATATATATTACCATAATGGTCATGAATCATCTTCCCTGCAGATCTATAATTAGATGCATTATCTGTCACCACCTGCACAACATTCTCTGCCCCAACCCAATCAATGACCCCACTGAACAACTTGAACAAGTTCTTTCCAGTCTTCACCATACCAGAAGCATCAACGGATTTCACAAAGCATGTGCCATTAGAAGAATAAATCAGAAAGTTGATCAAAGATCTATGCCTATTATCTGTCCAACCATCTGCCATAATGGTGCATCCAGATTCCTTCCAATGAGATCTAAGATTCTCAATCAATATCTGACATTATTTCACAATGCTATCCAATAAAGTAAACCTCAAAGCATAATATGTAGGACCACCATAACCAGGACCAAGGGTTAAAGAAGCATCCAATGCAATTTTAAACTGTGGAGATTTAATTGCTTCTAAAGGAACACATGCATCATAGAACCATCTAGCCCATGCTCGATCTACATACAATACAGCTTCTTTAGTTGCTAAGGCACTTTTTATTCCTGGTTGGCTACCAGAAGTTGATCGTGGAGCAAAGAAAGTGTCAACTGATCCAGTAGACACATTTGTGGAAGTAGCAACTCTTTTAGAACTATTACCATCATCATGTGCACTAGAAGAACTAGTCTCACGAGGTTCTTTAAATCCAGCTTTGATAAGTTCAGATTTCTTCTTATTAGCTTCATAATCAGTCAAAAGTTTGCTCAAGTTTTGCCTCACCTCAGGAGGAACCTTTGTACATACAGTATTATCCCCACTAACTCCAGCTAGATGTCTTTTCATTCTAGTGATTCCTCCACCTCTGAATACTTTCTCACAATATATGCAAGTGCGTACCTCAACCTTTCCCTCAAGATGAAAGGTACAATGATTCCAAGTCGGATCAGTTTTGGCCCGTACATTCTTTGTTGACACTCGTGGTGTACTAGAAGCTGCTCCTTGCTCAACTGCCGGGGTTTCTTCCCCGCTAGCCATTGCTGTCACAATAAAAACAATAAACATAATGTTAGTAAACAATAATAAAAAAACAACAATCAGTCAGCCCCCATCACAGGTAGAAATTTGTTCCTTCTTTTACTAGCTAGGCTAACAATCAATACCAAATCAATTCACCATGTTTGCATTACCAAAAAAAAAAAAATTCACCATGTTTGTTATTTTATCCTGATCGACATCTTTGTTCGATTCAACAATTTATCCATAGAGATTCTATATTAGAATGATTTTTGTGCGCTACACTTATGATCTTGACATTAACAACCCATAAAAAAGAATTCAGCCGTAGAAAACCATAAATTACACCTGCAACTAGGTATGGGAATTACGAGGTCCACACAGACTAGGGATAAGAACAGTAATTGAAAAAAAAAACAGAATACAAGCTTCCCAAATTTGTTACAAACCGCTGTTTCCAAACAAATTTCAGTTTTCTGTGATTTAAAATGGATTTTGAGGTTGAAATGATTTTGTTTCTGCGTGCAGGGAAGAAGAACAGAGAGAGAGATCCACACCTGCAACTTGGATTAAGAAGAAGGAAGTGATGGCGGGGTCGCGGGAAAGTGGCGGCCACGATCTCTGATCGCCGGTGGTGTTGATCGCCGGTTGCTGGGGTTGCTGGGGATGCTGGCGACGCAGGGAGAGTGGAGACCAGAGCGGCGCGGCTGCTAAGTGCTGGGAGAGAGAGACGAGAGGCAGGTAGGGTTTTGTGAGTCTCTGCTTCCCTTCCATTCCGTTTTTTTTTTCATCAAACGGCGCCGTTTGGGTTAAATGAAGGGACCGCCGGGTTGGTTTTAAACCGACCGAAATTTCGGCCCAATGCGGTCCAACCTCAAATACCGCCCGGCAGGTTATTAAAGGGTACAAAGCCCTATTGCGCCGGTTTACCTCCGGTTTCCGGTTTTTCCGGTTCGACCGGCCGGTCCGGTAGGGTATCCTGGTCCTTGCATACAATACCACCCTGGTACAGGGTGGTATTGTATGGTATCTTCTTCGTTTTTAATTCGTTTTTGAAAATGTTTGCACAGAAAGGACGAGTTCATCATGATCTATTGGATGTACAAATTTCTGAGTGAACAAATTACAGGACCAAAAAATACCGCACAATACCATACAATACCACCCTGGTACGGGGTGGTATTGTATGGTATACAATGTTAAAAGTCGTAAATGACAATTAATATACTTCTACTATCATGCATTCAACCATCTTACAGTCTTGGTTTGTTCATACCACCATGGTACGTTTTTCAAACCATAGGTATGCTTTTATTTCAATACCAGTCAATACCATATGGTATAGACTGGTAAAAAATTGCTCAATTTTTTTTGTTCGAAAAATATATTAAAGTGGATATCATTTTGAAGAGCAGAATTAACCTGATCTAACTGTGCAAAAAAAATTAAATTTCGACTTAAAATGAGTGAGAAATCGTCCGTCAAAGATTAAAGAAGGGAAAATTAAAGGCTTTCCAGGAGAGAGAGGATGCTGATGTCATGCTGATGTGGGCTGGTTACTCATGATTACTCACCATAAGGTTACTGACCTGATCCGTTCCCGAAAAAAACGAAGAGAGAGGGTGAGGTGGGGCTGCCGCTCGGCTTTAGGGTTAGAGCCGATTTGGGTCTCAGAGAAACAGGCTGATTTTAAGGGGCCGGGTAATTGCTGAAGAAAGTACTCGTCCCTTGAGCCGAGTTTTCTCACAAACAGGCGGACAATAAATCAGCAGCAACGGGACATTACCCTTCTCTGGCCCAAGTAAATATATCCAGATACAAATAAAATAAGTCAAAATAATCCCAAACAATTTCGCTATGGTGCACACTATGTCTGGGAAACGGTGCGGTCTGGTCCAGACCAGACCATATACACGGTCTGCGGTCCAGACCATGAGGGTAGAACAGAGACCATAGACCAGACCATAACCTATACGGTCCAGACCAGACCACGCCTGTGCGGTGCGGTGCGGTCCGGTACGGTCTGGACCGAGTAGACCATGTTCAACAAAACCTGTATTATCCAATGTTAAATATTAGCTAGTGACTAAAATAAAAAACGCATTGACATCTAATCCGAACATAATACCAACAATTTCAAGTCTACAACCCAACATAACATGAGATTAAGAATCAACAACATCCATAGTTCAATACTAATAAGTTCAACAAATTCCATCTAGTCCCGGAGCTGGAGGAGGCGGCATAGCTGCTGAATCTACATCAGTTCCAGAGCTATCTTCGTAACGAGCTATTTTGCTAGCCTGAATAATAGACAGAGACATATTAAGCATTCTGGCCATTTAGTAACAGTTTGAATTGGGGAATGGAAGAACAAACATAGAGGAATGGAAGAACAATCGACCATTATTAGTTTATTATCATTCTCTGTTGCAGCGGCCAGTCACAATGGCGGAGTCAATGGAAGAGTTCGATGGTGGTCGGCGGAGGTCGATGGCGGTCGGCGGAGGTTGATGGCAGTCGGTGAAGGTCGATGGTGATGGAGCAGCCTGAGAAGAGATGATGGTGGAGGTCGATGGCTATGGTGGAAGGCGATGGAGACGAGAATGGTTGACGGGACAATCGGACAGGGGAGGTGACGAACCTTTGGACTTTGGCGGATGATGGATAATCGGACAGGGGAGGCGAGGCGACGATGGGGCTCTTCGAGCTAGCCTCACCAACCTTCACAGTTCACACTTCTCCGAGCGATTTGTGACGGCCGACGGGGCTGCAGGATGGGCGATGGGCGATGGGGATTGGGGAAGCAGCTGTCAGCCAAAATGGGGAGGCGGGAGGCCGAAGCACGCAGCTAGCTAGGGCTGCGGTGAGTTGTGGCCTGTTGGAGAATGATATTGGGCTTTGGCCCATTGAATTGTGGAGGCTTGGAGCTGCCTATTTGGGCTTAGCCCATAGTTAATTTTTGCCACGGTCTGGACGGTTAACCATGGTCTAGACCAGACCAAATCGTTCCAGACCACAAGTGAAAGAGGCAAACCATGGACTAGACCAAATTGTATTCATGGTCTAACGGTCCGGACCAAACTGTACGGTACGGTCTAAACCGCAGTTTGTCATACGGTTTGGTCTAATTTCCCAGCCCTAGTACACACAGAATTTTATGTGCACCAACTCACATGGAGGGGGAGTGCCACGTCACCCAAGCCAGCAATGAAGGACCAGAATTGGGCAAGCTGGACGTAAGAGAGAAAAGGGGAAAAGGGAAGCCGGCTGAGCCGAGTCGTGTGTTCAGGGAGGGAAAAGTGGTGGGGTCGCATGGCTTTTGAAATTGAAAAAAAAACAAAATTGTTTCTTCCTCCACTCTTCTTCCTTCTCTATGCTCCTTCTTTCTCTATTCTTCTTCTTTCTCTGTTTTTCTTTCTTTTCTCTGTTTTGCTCTCATCAAACCAGAGACCACCCCTCCCAAAAACAAAGATCTCTCTCTTGTCGACGAGAAAGAAGGAGATCGCGAGCACGCGTCGGAACAAGGAAAGCGAGGACGACGAAGGAGTTAGTCGATGAGCAGGACAGGCGATAACCAGGAGAGCTTCGACAAGGAAGAATCGTCCTTCCTCGAGTTCTGTGTATTTCGCTCGAATCCCCCTTAATACCGGTGAGGACGATTCTCCCTCTGTCCTTTGCTTTCTAGGCGTGGATTTTTCCCTTGAATCTCCCTTTTTTGCTTTATTCTTGGGTGTTTAGGGTTTACTGAATACGCGTTTAGGGTTTTTTTGGCAATTTTGCTATGGTACACCTTCAAAATCGACTCGATTCTGAATCGACTATGGCAATTTTTTAGGGGTTTTTGGTACTGACTCACTTCTACTGTCACCCTAGGAATTGGCCAAGTGAAACCACTTCCTAAAGCGTAGTATAGCGGGTTTAGGTTTAATTATCAACCCGGGTCCTAGATTTGATGACTACTCAGTGAATTCTTGTTATCTAGCAATGAAACTGGAATGCAAGTCTAAACTACCAAACAAACAAAGCAAACAAACGGTTGTATTCAAGTTAAGAGAGGTCACCCAGATATGGTTCCCCCTAGACTGCAGTTATGCCGGATTGTAATTACCAAGTTCAGTTTCTATGATAGTTATACTGCGGAAGGTTCTTAAACAGCCTGAAGTCTCGACTAAAGGTCTTCAGACCCTCTCAATCTGAGTCTCTAGCGGGCGACTAACCTCCACCGGAGTAAACAGATTGAGGCCTTAACAAACAAAACCTCCACTACCGGAGTAAATCCAGTACAGAATAGTGAGTTGGCTCCTCGACTAAAGTCACCAACTCCCTACCTTCAATCAAGGATGCTCTATCAACCTAGGCAGATATTCTCATTCTAGGTCAAAGCAGAAACAACAGGAATTTGATCAGGATTCATGCCATTCAATCATTCAAACCTCAATCGAATATAATCAAATCATAGAATCAGTACTTGGGTTCATACAATCAAACCTAACATACAAATCTAGGGTTCTCCATACCCAGATGAATGGGAGAACTACTCCATAGAGAAAGAAGCAAAAGCAGAATCAGACGCGGAATTCATACTGTGAAGGATGGATTCCTGCTCCTGGACGTTGATCGGCACTTCTCCAAGCTCAAGCTGGCCTCCAATGGTGTTGAGGATCAATCTAGGGCACTTGGAGACTCTTGTTCGTCGCTTTCTCTCTCTAGGAACTGATCTCTCTAAAACTCGAATCCCCCCGACTTGTGGCTGAAAATCTGCTTAAAAGCAGAAAATCCCAACTCACACGGCCAGGGTGGCACGGCCGTGTGGCTTACCCAGTTGCCCGTGTGAGTCAAAACGCTGCGTTCCAATTAGTTCGATCTTCAGGCTTCTCACACGGCCAGGGTCGCACGGCCGTGTGAGATTTCCATCTGCCCGTGTTTGCTCTCGGCGAAACTCGCACGGCCAAACCACTCCTTCACACGGCCGTGTGAACATTAGGGCAAGCCGTGTTTGCTCTCGCACAATCTCACACGGCCAAAGTGGTCACTTGCACGGCCGTGCGAGTTGTGGGTGTGCCCGTGTGACCTCCTTTGTGACTTGTCTCGCGCCCGATCTTCGCCCAATCGACCCCGAACTCGCTCCTAAACCTTCATTCACTTGCCAGGACCTGAAATATCACAAAAAAGCACAACCTAGCATGAAATCGGTCTAAAACACGAGAAACCACATCTCAAACGGTGTAAGAACAGGGGTGAAAACATGTGTAATTAACGGTCTATCAGGTACACCTTCAAAATCGACTCGATTCTCAAGGGTATTCTTCATAATATGTCTTGTGTGGGCGAGATATGTCAATTTTTTGTTGACTAAGTTTTTGGGTTCTTGCTTAGAATCGGTTCTTGCTTAGAATCAGTAAATATGGTTGAATTCAAAAGTAGTTGTTACCGTAATCCTCCATTTTAGTTGATTCTTGTGTTCCTTGTTCCCTGTTAACCTTCAATCTGTTGAATACTGGTTATTTTGGTTTGAAATATTAGTTGTGTGTTCATCTTGTATTTTAGTTGACTGTGTAGTTGACCAATACTAGTGGTTCCTAGTTTTGAATATTAGTTGTATAATGTTGACTGTGTTGTTGACGAATACTAGTTCTTCTAGTTTTGAATATTAGTTGAATAATGTCGACTGTGCTGTTGACGAATACTAGTTCTTCTGGTTTTGAATATTACTTGTATAATGTTGACTGTGTTGTTGACGATAGGGGTGGCATTTCGGTTATTTCGGTTATAACCGATAACCGATCGGCCGGTTATCGGTTAACCGAAATAACCACACCCCTACCGAAAACCGCCCGAAATAGGCTTCGGTTTCTCGGTTATCGGTTAACCGACCCACTTTTAAGACCAAAAACCATTTTGCCTAGCCTCCGATAACCGACCGAAGTTCGGTTACTTCGGTTACCGGTTAGTCGATAACTGGCCGGTTAACCGGTAACCGGTAACCGAATGGCCACCCCTAGTTGACAAATACTAGTTTTTCTGGTTTTGAATATTAGTTGTATAATGTTGACTGTGTTGTTGACAAATACTAGTTCTTCTGGTTTTGAATATTAGTTGTATAATGTTGACTGTGTTGTTGACAAATACTAGTTCTTCTGGTTTTGAATATTAGTTGTATAATGTTGAATGTGTTGTTGACGAATACTAGTTCTTCTGGTTTTGAATATTAGTTGTGTATCCATTAAAATTGTTTGTCTGCAGCTAGATTAATATTGCATGTTAAAAGTTCTGAATATTAGTTCTCTTCATTGTGTTGTGTTTGTCCCCCTTTTCAGAATATATGTTTTTTTGGTCTACAAGTTTGGAATAATGGTGCGAACCAAGAAGCGTGTTCCTAAACCTATGAAACAACCCTTAGTAGATCCTCCTTCTGCTTGGAAGTCTGGGGGGAAGTCTTCTCGGAAAGATGCGGGGAAAGCTGCTGAAGATGTTCCTCCTGGTTCAGAAGATCAAGTTGCTGCAAAAAAATCATTTTGCTGCGAGGAAAGCTATTGAAGATGTTCCTCCTGGTTCAGAAGATCAAGTTGCTGCAAAAAGAGTTAAGTTTGTTGCTGGAAAGTCTGGTGAGACTTCTGCAGGGAAGTCTGGTGAGACTTCAGCTGGGAAAGCGACGGGGAAATCTGCTGGGACAGCTAGGGGGAAGTCTGCTGGGAAAGCTGTGGGGAAGTCTGTTGGGAAAGGTGGGGGAAAGGAAAGGGCAAGAAACCACATGAAACACTACATCGATTTCACACATCATCATTGTTGAGTGTTATTGAATTTTGGAAGAAGGATGAGGCCTATTATGAGGAATGCGAGAAGGAGCTTAAGAAGGCGGGCTTCGATGGATTGCTGGAGATATGATTGCGAGACGTTGATAAATTTTTGTTGTGTGCAATGGCACGACACTACGATACTATTTCTGGGAGCTTCATTTTCAGAGAGGGAGAGAATAAGAAGGTGCTTCCCTTAGAGGACGAGGACGTGGCTCGTGTTTATGGCCTTCCTCACATTGGGGAAGAAATAGTGCTGGAGAAGTGTATGGACAAAACCAAGTTGTCGGCTTTTCAAGCCGAGATTGGGATGGGAGGAAACAGGTGCAGGAATTTTCCTCTGAGTGAAATGGTGGACAAGTTAACGGATGAGAATGCTAGACCTCCTATTCGTAAAGCCGTCAAGCAGTTCATGCTGCTTGCTCTTGCCTCGCTGCTCCGACCATCATGGTCACGGAATTGTGAGCTTGACTATGCGGAGTTCCTCGTTGGGAAGATTGAGCGGATAAAAAGCTACAACTGGTTTGGTCTTGTTGTAGCGGAACTGAAGAGTAGTCTTGCTGCAGTTCAAGGAAAGGCATTCCTTGACTAGGTCCATGGAGATGTCCACTTCCTCGTTGTAAGTTTTAAGTATTTGTTCTTTCATTTATGTTTTTGAATATGTGTGATTGTTTTTATTATTAGTTTTAATGTGTTTGATTATATTGAGTGTATGTTATTTGAATATGACTCTGGTTTTTTAAATATGAGTCTGGGTTATTTGAATATTAGTTTTATCGTGTTTGAATAATACTTTGAATGTGTTTGAATATGAATTCGAATGTTCTTGATTATAGTGTATGTTATTTGAATATGACTATGGTTTTTTTTAATATGAATCTGGGTTATTTGAATATGATTCAATATTGTCTTAATAGACTCGGTTATTTGAATATCAGTTCAATCTTGTATGAAGAAACCCTAAAACATAATAAATGCAAGCACCATAAATGTAACCCCTAACACATTCAATGTTGATCAACAACCAAAACATATATACGTTTAAATGGATCTGTTTTTTTTTTTTTGTCTTCACATACCCCTTCATCAACTGCAGCCATCCACTCTTGCGAGCCCCACGAACCATCAGATGAACCATCCGCTTTGAGGATGGTATCAACAAGGTCCACCTCTTCTGGTTCGTCTCCTTCGACATTACCTTTATCGTTTTCAGTCGACATATCTTCAAGGTGGACCTCCTCTTCTGGTGCGGCATCTCCTTCGACATCATCCCCCATCTTCGACAAACTATCTTCCTCTGGAGGCTTTTTATTCTCTTCGAAGGACCGATCTTGCATCAGACCTCCCCTTCCTGCGTTTTTCTGGTGTTCTGGATTCAGGTCTTTAATGGCGGCAAGGCGGACGGAGAGAAAAAATGAGGAAGAATATAGCTGTGAGATTGAGAGAGAGAGCTTGGTAGGTGGGTGGAATTAATGAAGCCAATTTTTGGGACTGGATTTTTCACCCTAAATCTTTAAAACACCCAAAAAATTTGCCTAGACCCCATCCATCTCTCACTCCTCGACCCCACCAGTACCTTAAGCTCGGCTTCCCCACAGCTCAAGCGCGGCTCGTCTCCTTCCCTGAGCCCGTCCCGTAGCCGCCCAATCCTGGCCCTCCGTTGCTGGCTTGGGCGATGTGGCCCACCCCCCGCCGTGTGAGTTGGTGCACACAAAATTCTGTGTGTGTACCATAGTGAAATTGAATCCCAAATGGGCCCAAGCAAATATATTAGGCCAATGTTACGGTGCCGCAGAAAAAAGTACGCTGACGCAAGTTTTGATTGGTCTATGTAGATATGATGTGGCATGGATTGAGTTGAATAAATTGGAGCTCAAATTCGTTGACCCATCAGAAATGCCCCGAACCCCCACTTGACCAAACAAATTCCTTCTTTTCGTTTGCTCCATTTGTGGTAGTTGTTTTATTTCATTAAAAATTCACACTTCATAAACGCAAGTTAATTTGGTAATTCATAAAAAAGTTAATTTTGTCGCTAGAAACAGAGACGCGAAGCAAAAGAAAGCTTATCGTCGTCATTCACCTATTTCTCCGATGGACTCTCATGGACTTTCGACGACTCCGTCGTGGATCCAATTTCAGGTTCTACTAAACGGCTCCACTGGAATCATTCTCCATTGCCTCATTCATTTATTCTATAAACCAAAGACAACGAATCTCACGTCGTCACCGTCCCTCTATTTCCATTGAGGAGCGTCGCCGCCACAGTACCACGGGTCATTCTAAATCCGTAGTGCGTTTATTGTTGCAAGTCATGGATGCTCCCATGAGATGGTTGGTTTCTGTTTTTGTTTGTATTCCTGGATTTAAAGTGGCAGGGGATTTCTCTGCTCCGTCTCTAACTCACTATTCTGTTGTTGATCTCTTTTCCCTCTTTCATCTTGATTTTTTCTGTTTTTTGTTTACTAGTTAAGGTTGTAATTTGGAGTGGCAGGATTCTATGACGATCCATAGGGAAAAGCGACTCTCTTCTTGATAGAAATCTGGGTATCAGGCTCTATCAAATTAGCTAGGGATTTGGGAAATAGGGTCAATCACCGAGATGGTGATTAACTTTATTTGAATTGAGGAAGAAGAAGGGTTGCAGAATGGAAAGGAGAGGAAGTGGGAGAGGGTTGCGGCGACAACAGAGGGAAGGGAAGAGAGGAGTCGGCTAGAGAGGAAAGAAGAGAGGGAGATTAGGCAATGTAATTAGGAATAATATTCTGCTTAACCTTGACCTAGCTCTCTAAAATGATTTATATACTAAACCATAATTTCTACTAACTACCCGAACTTATTAATCCCTCCCAATAATTCCGAAATATCCCAATAAATCCCCCGACAATAATAATTTAACATATAAGTCTAAATGCAGAAAGAAAGTAAATCGCGGTTTCTATCACTTCTTCTCTGACTAGTGAGTAACTTGCCGGCAGGACTGTTGGATGGAAATAGAGAACCCGCGACGATGACAGAGTATTTCGCCTCTATCAAATCACAGTAACTGTAGGAGGAAACAAATGTGCACCTTGATGATAGGATCGATGACAGACAAGTCACTAGGAGTGATTCTTGAGAGACCTCCGGAGAGGGATCAAGGACTTCTCTTTTGATTCTTTTGGTTGTTCCCTGTTTTTTGTTCTCCCGGAATTCCCATGTTTTTACTTTTTTCTATTTTATGACTGCCGACCGACAATTTACATTAATTTTAATTTAATAATAAAATAAAATAAAGAAAATAACGGAGAATGGCCTCCATTAGTATGGGCAAAGATGGGTTGGACTACTTTTGTTGGGCCAAATGAGTTGGCTTAGGATTTATAAACTCAGCCTGCCACGTCACACTACACATGGACCAATCAGAATATGCTCTTCGGTGCCGCAGTTTTAAGAGAGGCATCGTAGAATTGGCCATATATTAAGTATCTAACCTTATGGCCTTAGATGAAGAACAAATAGGCTGTCTTTTGCAAATTGCTAGCATACAGTCCCAAAACAGTTTTCGTACTAACTTCGTGCCATTCGTTCGAGGCCTTCAGAATCTTCAATCTTTTATCCAATTCTTTCCCTTTGTATACAAACATACCTAGTTTCATGTTGTGGAAGTCTTTGGACTTGAATCAGATCCATGCTCCTCGAATTGAGCTCCGAAGTAGGATTCACAAAACAGTTTTCTGCCTTGACCATTTTCAGGCAGTTTTAAGCTTTCCAGATAACAACTTTGTACGTCTGGAAAATGGTCTTAATGGATTCTTCTAGATCCCAAAACCATGCCAATGTGTAGAGGGGAACTTTATATTCAAAACAAGCACCTAACCTTGAATTTCCTCCAAAGTAGGCTACCTGAAACTGTTCCAACACTTAGCCAAAAATCAGAAATCTTCATGTAAGTTGAGATGGCTTCTTTGGCAAGTAATTGTGACTTGTAGATTGACCCAATTGGGATCATATCAGGATCCCCTCTTCAAAAAGCTTTGCCCTCAAAGCTTGATCTTTCCTCTTGTCAAAATCGTTACAGAACTTATCCCAAATTTGATCGAAAGACTGTTGCCCAAACTCCAGTTTCTGCAAAACTGTAAAAGTGTTCTTGAGCAATAAAATTAGGGTTTTCCGATTCAGGGATTGGCAGGCCAATTCATTGCTCCCACGAGGTTGTCCACACTCTCAATCGACTTCCTGGACAACGCTAGTGTCTCGACCCAACGCCAATCGCATTGGACCAGCTCCTCGTATTTTCCCACCGTCCATTTTCAAATGCCCAAAACCCAGAATTTTTTATTTTGATTTGGGCGTTTCTACCTCGGACATCTCCAGATCGAATCATTCATTCCAATAGCTTCTAGGCCTAGTCTTGATTGATCATGTGTTGGTCGTTGGCGTCGATTCACACTCGATCGGCCCGACCAATTGAGCTAATTTTCCTTCTTGTTCCTGCGCAGTCGGAGGCATATGAACGCGAATTTTATCTTGCAAATGAGGCATGTTCGAGTCGATTCCGCCTTCAGAGAAGATTCCTGGGTTCCCTTGGAGGGTTTCAGCGGTATTGGCGAAGCTCGACGTTACTCCAGCTGCTCCGACCAAGTAAGTCGTTTCTTGTTGTGGCCAAGCTCGTGCAGAGCAGATTTATCCCGAATGGGATCGTTCGATTCGAATGCAGTCGATGGATTTCAGTCCAGGGAAAAGCTTCATGTTCCTCCGTCAAAGGTCTCGACACCACTGGTCGGGTTCAAACGACTTCCCACTTCTCCACCCAAATCTCCCTCTCTCCTGCTCTGTACCACCGTCGAAAAACAGAGTTCCTGAATGCTTGTCGTTGGAGGGATTTGTGCAGTTTCAGTCTAGTCTGGGGATCCTCCTCACGTCTCCGTCCTTCCTTCCATCTCCAGAAACGCGCCTCTGCCGTCGGCGTGCCTCTTTTTCCTTCCTTCGTCGTCGGCAAGGTGGCCTACCTCGCAACTCTGTTTCGTCATAAAAAAAAACAGGGGTCGTTGTGGGCTGTTGGTTTCGTTTATGGAACCCCCTTTGGAAGCTTTCGAAAGCTCAAGAAATAAATCCAATAGGTCGCTGCACCAATAACTGAGCTTTGACACTGCTTCCTTCATTCCTATTCTCCTCCAATTACCTTTGATCTTCGTAAACTTCATTTGGAGAAAGGGGTTTCAACACAAACTTCTTACCTTGGTGCTGAAACTTGTAACAATTCGTCCATCCTTCATGGGTAACCTTCCGATCGAATTGCCAGGGACGACAAATCAATACGTGAGTTGTATGCATTGGTGCAACGTCACACAACACCTCATTTTCATAGCGGCCGATTCGAAAACGAATTGGAACTTGTTTCGTCACTTTAATCGTTCTGTGCTCATTGATCCAGCTGAGACTGTATAGGTGGGGATGCTTCTTCGTATTCAGTCTAAGCTTCTGTACGGCCTCCAAACTGATGATATTGGCACAGCTTCCGCCATCAATCACCAATGATGCCACTTTTCCATTGATCAGACAACAACTATGAAACAGATTGTCTCGCTGTTCGTCGGATTCGCGGTGGTT